TTACTAGACTTCAAGATAATGTCTCCACAACTGATTTTTCTGATTTTTCTCCAATTCCAATAATTCTTCCAGATGCGAACATCTCACCGGCTATCTTAATTTCCGTTTCGATTTGTGTTGCCTCATCGGGACTATATATATCCGTACTGACAGATTTTAATCGCCTCTTCTAAAACGTTTTCGCCGCGATAAGGAGAAGGCATATTTGAATGGCAAGCGACTCACTGTCAACTGACTATCGATTCTCATCAAGGCAGAGGGTCAGCGCTTGAACCGCATGTATATCGAGACCATTCTGGGCAACCAGAGCTATCGCGAGATGTGATCGGCGTTGAATTAACTTTGTGGCACACGTGGAAGCTCCTGTCCTGACGTGGAAGAACGAAATCGACAATTTGCTGCCTCCTTTGGTTCCGGTTCTCTACCGTCCGTCTCTAATTTCTGTGAAAACCCCAACCCTGTTTCTCTGACAGGTTCTCAAAGTTTTAAAGCATCTTAAGTCTAACAAGGCCCACGGACAGGACTCATTGGCCCCCATTTTCTTGAAAACCAGTGACGAACATCTTGCAACACCCATTGCCGAGCTGTTCAAATTGTGTCTTCCGGAACCATCCCGGATTGCTGGAGGGCTTCCATTCCCAGAAAGGGTCATTCGAAATGTCGGCCGATTGCCTGTACATCAGCCCTGTTGAGAATCTTTGAAAGAGCGCTGTTTAACCGGTTGAATACGCTCTCTGATGTTCTCGATCCTCTTCAGTTTGCTTACAACAATGGCTTTCGACTGTTGGCATCGTTGCGTATGTTGTTCATTCTGGAATCTCAGTTTTAGATAGGAGTGTGAGAACTGTGCGCCTTATTTTTCTTGATTATGCCCACGCCTTTGGTTCACTTGACCGTCGCATTCTCATCCAACGCCTTGGTGGCTGCGGCTTAGTATCCGACGTTTTAAACGTTCTTGTAAACTACTTTTTAAGACTTTATTTACCAATACCACACCTAACCTACCGGGGCCTTATGCGGTTCGCCACTCCAAGCCTCGGGGATTAGGTTACCGGTTTTCTTCACTAAACAGCAAGTCCTCGTGGCTGTGGGGCTTTCCCCGTCTGCAGTTCATCACATAAAAGTGTGTAATAAAAAATAAAATAATAAATAACCTTATGTAAAACTTCGTCCTTTTACGTTAACTCTGGTGTCTTTCAGGGCGTCATTTTGTCTCCATCTTTTTGTTCACCGTACATAAACAACCCGCCTATCCCTACCAACTTTATTACCTGTTAGTATACTGACGATTTGGTGATTGGGACTCCTCCAAAAACGATGTATTTTTCAACAAATTGAAGGCAGTCTGAACGACGTTACAGTTGGTCCCTGCCCCAATCGGTTATGCTCAATTGTTTGAAATTTGTTGATGTTCCTTTCAACCTTAAATCTGGCTCCCGTTATCCTACTTTTAATGATTTACTTGACCTTGTCGTTAACAGTCACAGCATTACCAAAGCTGATTCCGTTAAATACCTCGGAGTCCTTCTACCCCACAATCTCTCTTAGTCTAGCCTTGTTGAGAACGTTTACAATAGAGTTTTTAAACTTATTTTTATGTTTTCAGGCTTGGGAAGGTTGCTGTTCCCCCGAATGTAATTTTCGAATTTGCGATCGCATGCATCCTCCCTCATTGGCTTTACTCTTTCCCCGCACTTTTTTCCGATCTGAAGGGAAAAAATTCATATTAACTTCCTGATTCTATATGGTGGCCTAGAAATGTTGTTATATCTTATGGTGTGCAACCATATCGGCGCATGTGAAAGAATAGCTGAAAAAATCTTGAACAACGAAGATCGCTGTTTGCACTACGAACTTCTTCAATCCATGTCAAACCTCCTTACCCGCCCCCCATTGTTAGCTGCTTCACTTTTTGAACTAATACTATCGTCTTCTTGCTCGCAGTGCGCTGTCGTTTTTGTTTACCCTCTACACACTTGCATTTTTTCTTTCCCACGTCTGCTGTATTCTCGTGAAAATCGCTGAAAATTCACTTTTCGCGTGCATAAAAGTTAGTTTGACTGGGTTGGACTTGACACTCAGGTAAGGTCATACATTTATTCTCTAAACAAGATATCTGAGTTCTTGTGAATTAGAACGGATGCGGGTGAAAAAAATGAAAAATTATTTGTCTTTATGAGCGCTTTATTCAGCTCATTGTTTTTCTCTATTTTGAATGACCCGTCGATCGGTTTGTACATGACCCCAACGGTGTCGTCCATTGCCACGCGGTTTGGACTACGCTGTGCAACACCAAGTTCGCGTATCACAATTAGATAGCGAAATCGCTGCTCACGTTTGTGAGCCGTCATTGAATAGTTATCTCTAGATTATCTCGTACCTGGTCTGTGGGTTGAACTTTTCACCACTGATCAAATACGTGACCAATCTGAACAACTTCATTCGTGCCGTAAGCCACTTA